GGATTTCATTATTATGGAGTGTATCACAAATTAATAGATTGTTCAAAAAGAGGTGCTAGTCCATGAGACAATCATATGAACCATCCATTCCTCACCACATAACATCCTTGAGGTAACAGGAGCAATGACTTTTGTGGAAGAGTAAAATATTTTCAATGAAAACCAAAGGAGGGGAGGCAGAACCATATGACTATTTTACTATCCTGTCAAACCACTTGTGGTCCATACCACATAATTTGGGAAATGATGTTATTTAGAGCAAAGCAAACACTGGCCTTCCAAAACTCCATCTCTTCTGACCTTGATTATTGCCATATTTTTTCTCTATAGCCTCACAATACTTCAGATCTTTGTGCATTAATATATGTAGGATGCTGCTGACTGCTGTCTCCCATGTACAAAGAAGCACAACTACAGTAGTAGCATGATGAGAATGGGCAGGTGGGTGGGCTACTAATTTGGGTGGCTGGGAAATGACTGGGGGGTTGGAGCTTTGGGGCTGCCTTTCTCCCCAAGTTGGCCTTGAAAGAGGGAGAGGGATAGATGCTCTGGCCAGGGGACATGACAAAAAAAAAGGAAGCGCCCATAAAAATGTGTGCCCTGCACCCTCAACTATCTTATCCCCACACGCTGAACTCTGTCTGCCAGGCATTTCTGCCCGGGAGAGGAGTTGGGGCGCAGGGCTTGCTCTGGTCTGTCCACCTGCTACTCCAACAGAGAAGAGTCAGGTTGCTGGGGCTTGCAGTTGTCTGCCTTCCTGATGCTCCCAGAACAGTGTGGGGTCAGGGTGCCTGGGTTTGATTTGCACCGGCACACCAGTATGTGTGGGGTTGGGTTAGTCCTGTTCTGCCTACCCAGTGCTCCAGCATGGGAGTGGGGCTTGAGGCTTCGGGGCTTTCAAGTCCCCAACTCAGGGAGTGGAGCAGGGCAAGCTCCCAACCCCACTCCCAAGGTCCAGCTGGAGTTCTGGGTGGAGAGGGGCAATTCACCAAGTTCTGGAAGGAGCAGAGTCAGGACTGGGGGTGGGTGGCCCTCTTCTACACCCCTAAAACATAGCAGCCTCATCTTCTTGTAAGTACTCCATAGCCTCCTGCTCAATTCAGGATCAATTAAAATCATATCCTACCAATGTACCAGGCATTGGTTTCCCTTCCACCTTCCTCTACTACCTCCTCTCTCCCCACCCAAAAAACACCCTCAACACTATTGAAGCAAGAGCCTTAACCTCTGCAGTTACTGTCAATCTGAAACAGCTTCTCTCTCTTTCTCTCTCATCAGTTCTGCAACTCATTATGAAACTTGCCTACTCATCAGACCTCTCACTTCTCTCTCCCTTGGTTATTTAATTCAGTAATTATATATGGGAACGTCTACACTAGCCCCCTAGTTCGAACTAGGGAGGCTAATGAGGGCGACCGAAATTGCAAATGAAGCACGAAATTTAAATATCCCGTGCTTCATTAGCATGTTCCCAGCCGGTTGCCATTTTGGAAATTGACTAGCCTGGAATAACTGCCCTGGACTACATGCGTCATAGAAGGGTGATTCCGAAATCAACCCTTTACTTTGAATTACCAGTTAAACCTCATTCCATTCCATGAGGGGTTTATTTTGGAATTGTCCTGATGTAGGAATCTACACAAAGAGCTGTTTGCACGTTCATTGAATGTTAGGTTGATAGTGCCCGAAACATCCTTTATCACGATTGAGTCCATTAGCATGAGAATTTAATTTTAAACAGCGATTAGGAAGATTGAAGTGTTCTCCAACAGGTTTCTGTATGTTCCCTTTACATATATCTGATTTGTGTCCCCTGTTTAAAAGATCTTCAAGTGTCTGTCTTGTCACAAACCAATTCTACTAACCAGATACACAGAAAAGTATTGGAATTAGAGTTCATCCGCAAATTCAATTCTCATGCTAATGGACTCAATCATGATGAAGGATGGTTGGGACAAAACTCTGGTCATCTGAAGAAGTGGGCTGTGCCCATGAAAGCTCAAGATACTATCTATGGGTATGTCTACACTACCCCGCTAGTTCGAACTAGTGGGGTAATGTATGCATACCGAACTTGCTAATGAAGCCCGGGATTTGAAGTACAGATAGTTCGGAATGGCTACGTAGTTCGAACTATCTAGCCCGTACCGCGTGTAGCCGCACGGCACGGGGTTCTCACTAGCCGGCTTTATGCTAATGAAGCCCGGGAAATTCAAATCCCGGGCTTCATTAGCAAGTTCGGTATGCATACATTACCCCGCTAGTTCGAACTAGCGGGGTAGTGTAGACATACCCTATGTGTTTTGTTAGTCTATAAAGTGCTACCAGACCATTTTTTGTTTTTTTCTGTACAGACTAACTCAGCTACCCCCTGAAGCGATAATAATGAAAGTTAATCTTTATAATCTGATTAATGCAGGGTGTCATGAATAGTAGCTGCAAAGGAGAGTCTGACATACCTGGAGAGTGAGGAAATGGGTAAGCAACTTTGGAGATGCACCTGACAAGAGGGGGCTTTGGGCATTCAACCAATGAAATGCAGATAGGAATTTCAAACTGAGAGAGGGTTCTCCCCCCCCCCCCTTTTTTCCCCTTTGTTTTTGGTCAGCAGCAGTTTTTCCCCGGGTAGCAGGAGAGACAGACTCTTCCAGGAACAGAGTCCTTGAATTCATTGAAATGTTCAAGTAGGGAAAAGTTTAGATAGCACATTGGGTTTTATTATTTTCCTTGTTTGGGGGTTTGGAAATTATGTCTGAGCTGGTTATTCATTTTTCTCTTTTGTAATTAAGTGTACGTCCACACTGCTCGCTTATTTCAAAATAAGCTATTCCAGAATAGTTATTCTGGAATAGCTTATTTTGAAATAGCACCTCTACACTGCAGGGAAGCCTCAAAATTAGTCCAAGGCAGGCTTCTCTAATGTAGACATGCTACCTCGATTTAGAGCCCCAGGAGGCACTGGGGAGGAATAACTTAGGGTCTGTATACACTTGCACCCTCTTTCAAGAAAGGGATGCAAATGAAGACATTCGAAATTGCAAATGAAGCACGGGATATAAATATCCTGTGCTTCATTTGCATTAAGGCGCTATTTCAAAATAGTGCTATTTCGAAATAACAGATGCTGTTAAGACGCGGTTATTTCGAGTGAAAACCCTTCTCTAGAAATAACCCTTATTCCTCATACAATGAGGTTTACCAGTTATTTTGAGAGAAGGGGTTTCTCTCAAAATAACTTCATCTTAAAAGCGTCTTTTATTTCAAAATAGCGCCATAACACGAATATGCAAATGAAGCACGGGATATTTAAATCCCGGCTTCATTTGCAATTTCGAATGTCTTCATTTGCATCCCTTACTCGAAAGAGGGTGCAAGTGTAGACATATGCTTACAATATCCCTGGTGAGGGGCTATTTCGAAATAGCAGCAATGGAGCATCTACACACACCTTATTTCAAAATAGCTATTTTGTAATAGGTGTTATTCCTCTTAGAATGAGGTTTACAGATTTCAGAATAAGCCGTCTGTTATTTTGAAATTATTCTGAAATAACGGAATGGCTGTGTAGATGCTCACATTGTTATTTTGAAATAATGCTAGTTATCTCAAAATAATGGTACACTGTAGACACGCCCTAAGGATTATAGCCTAATGATTCTTTCTGAGTCTATTTCAATCCTGGCTTTTAATACCCAGTCATTTACTCTGCTTGCAACAGTAGTTTTGTTTTAATAATAAAAGTGTTTTCTTTTTGTTTTGGTTAACAATTGGTTGATTTTTGTGTCTTTAAACTTACATGCCTAAGTTACTCAGGATGAGCAGAGCCCCTACAGATTCTACAAATTCTCTCTGTTTTTTTTCCTAACTCCATCCAAAACAGACATTGGGGCAGGTGAAGAGCTTTGCCTCAGGAAGGGAATTCCAAGTGTTGTCTTCCTTGGAAAATGGGTTATTTTATATTTTTAGTTACACTTGGTGTGGCAGCAATCAGTCTTCTTTCTTTTTGGGTCTCAGAAAAACTGAGACCAGACAAGTTTGTCTCTGGGAGTTAGAGAGACAAGTTCTTAGGGTATGTCTACACTGCCACCCTAGTTCGAACTAGGGTGGCTAATGTAGGCATTTGAACTTGCAAATAAAGCCCGGGATTTAAATATCCTGGGCTTCATTTGCATGTTCCCTGGCGCTGCCATTTTTAAATGCCCCGTAGTTCGAACTACCTGCCCGCAGCTACACACGGCACAGACTAGGTAGTTCAAATTAAATCTCCTAAATTGAACTACCGTTATTCCTCCTGCAAGGACGTTTAACAGTAGTTCGAATTAGGAGCTTTAATTTGAACTGCCTCGTCCATGCCGCGTGTAGACACAGGCAGGTAGTTCGAACTACCGGGCATTTTAAAATGGCGGCGCCCAGGAACATACAAATGAAGCCCAGGATATTTAAATCCAGGGCTTCATTTGCAAGATCGCATGCCTACATTAGCCACCCTAGTTTGAACTAGGGTGGAAGTGTAGACAAACCCTTACAGAGTTTATTCTGCTAGCTGGCCACCATATATACACTCAAACTGCCAGGTAGTGGAATTGAGCTGTGACACAGGATTTTTTTAAAAATTGCTTCTTTCCAATGACTAGCGTGTTCCTGTTGATGAGCAAATCCTGTATTTCTTCATCAAACTTTTCTCTAATGACAAATCTATAGCCTGTTATTTCTGTATTTGCTTATTGACTATCCTGACATGTGATTGTTCATCAGACTGCTTGCAGTTACAGTGGACAAATGAAAAACAATATAAAATCCCTAGGTATGCATATGAAATGCAATTGTAATAGACGCTGTGCAGAACATCTTATCAAAGTTTTAAAAATATTTCAAATAGTAAGCAAAGGGGTAAAATGGGAGAAAACATGTCTGCCTCAGAGGATATTGATTAGTGGCTTTAAGAAACTAATAATTATATTAACTACTGGATAAAAGATGTTTATGAAAGTTATACTAACCCTACTGATTGAGAACAACAATCCTGGCTTATCTGTGCAGATCCCAGTGAAGCAGAATCTGAGTTTCCAGTAAAACAAATGTTCCCAGACAAAGGTTATTAGGCTGAGTGCCATGGCTGCTGCGAGCATGTAAAATACGCCTGCCATGTTGTCAATATCCAGCTGGCTGCTCATGACTTCATTCTTCTCATTATGACAAATACCAGTCAGCCACAGTGTTTCCAATTCTTCCATCTCTCCTGCAGAAGACAAGAAATTGTACACTTAGGGTTTGAAAACCATCATGCATAGTATACTGAAAAAATTAAAATCTAGGATATAAAAATTCCATCTTGAAAAATACAGCACTTTATAGTTTCTCATTTATTAAGTGACTCTATTTCTATTTGCTAATTTAGGATTAAATTACTGAAATAGATTGCAGGGTATAATAATACCTCAGGGTGTATCTACACAGCAAAGTCATTTTGGAATAGCGGCCATTATTTCGAAATAACTATGCAAGCATTTACACAGCAATTCATAGAATCATAGAATCATAGAATACTAGGACTGGAAGGGACCTCGAGAGGTCATTGAGTCCAGTCCCCTGCCCTCATGGCAGGACCAAATACTGTCTAGACCATCCCTGATAGACATTTATCCAACCTACTCTTAAATATCTCCAGAGATGGAGATTCCACAACCTCCCTGGGCAATTTATTCCAGTGTTTGACTACCCTGACAGTTAGGAACATGATTTCCTTAATTACTACGCCATTATCTTCCCTGGCACAGAAGTTAAACTAACTGGTCTGTAGTTTCCTGGGTTGTTCTTATTTCCCTTTTTATAGATGGGCACTATATTTGCCCTTTTCCAGTCCTCTGGAATCTCTCCTGTCTCCCATGATTTTCCAAAGATGATAGCTAGAGGCTCAGATACCTCCTCTATCAGCTCCTTGAGTATTCTAGGATGCATTTCATCAGGACCTGATGACTTGCAGGCATCTAACTTTTCTAGGTGATTTTTAACATGTTCTTTTTTTATTTTACCTTCTAAAACTACCCTCTTCCCATTAGCATTCACTATGTTAGGCATTCCTACAGACTTCTTGGTGAAGACCGAAACAAAGAAGTCATTGAGCATCTCTGCCATTTCCAAGTTTCCTGTTACTGTTTCTTCCTCCTCACTGACCAGTGGGCCTACCCTCTCCTTCGTCTGCCTCTTACTTCTAATGTATTTATAAAAAGTCTTCTTGTTTCCCTTTATTCCCATAGCTAGTTTGAGCTCATTCTGTGCCTTTGCCTTTCTAATCTTGCCCCTGCATTCCTGTGCTGTTTGCCTATATTCACCCTTTGTAATTTGTCCTACTTTCCATTTTTTATATGACTCCTTTTTTTATTTTTAGATCATGCAAGATCTCGTGGTTAAGCCAATGTGGTCTTTTGCCATATTTTCTATCTTTCCGACACATCGGAATAGCTTGCTTTTGGGCCCTTAACAATCTCCCTTTGAAAAACTGCCTACTCTCCTCAGTTGTTTTTCCCCCTCAGTCTAGATTCCCATGGGACCTTACCTATCAGCTCTCTGAGCTTACCAAAATCTGCCTTCCTGAAATCCATTGTCTCTATTTTGCTGTTCTCCCTTCTACCCTTCGTTAGAATTGTGAACTCTATGATTTCATGATCACCCAAGCTGCCTTCCACTTTAATATTCTCAACCAGTTCCTCCCTATTTGTTAGGATCAAATCTAGAGCAGCTTCCCCCCTGGTTGCTTTTTCAACCTTCTGAAATAAAAAGTTGTCTCCAATGCAGTCCAAGAACTTATTAGATAGTCTGTGCCCCACAGTGTTATTTTCCCAATTACAGAATTTTGAAATAATTTTGAAATAATGAACAGCTTATTCTGACTTCTGCAAACCTCATTCTATGAAGAATAATGCCTATTCTGAAATAGCTATTTTGAAATAAGGCATGTGTAGACGCTCCACTGCTGCTATTTTGAAATAGCCCCTCACCGGGTCCATTGTAAATTATTCCTCCTGGGGCTGTAAATCGAGATAGCCCATCTACATTAGGGAAGCCTGCTTTGGACTAATTTTGAGGTTTTCCTGCAGTGTAGACATGCTATTTCAAAATAAGCTATTTCGGAATAACTATTCCAGAATAGCTTACTCTGAAATAACTGTGCAGTGTAGATGTAGCCTAAGATAGCTCATATTTCATCACCATATTTAGTATTTCTAGCTAGAAGTTAGCTAAACTTGATTAGACAGGGATGATCTAGATCGGGGTTGGCAACCTTACCAAACCAAAGAGACAACCTACATTAAAATTCAGAACAAGTGGTCAACAAAGAGCCATATAAAAATGCCCATTTTCATGACTGAAAATATACAACCTAATATTGTAAGGAGGTGCAGGAGTCTGCACTGGGGTGTATGAGGGCCTCAGGGCAGGTGGTTCAGGTGTCTGATGGATTCAGGGCACAGTGTTGGGGTATGAGGGATGCAGGAGTGTTATGGCAGGGGGCCAAGGATGTGGGGGTGCAGGAGTCTTGGGCTATGTCTAGACTACGGGGTTTTTCCAGAATACCAGAGGTATCCCGGAAAAAGTCTGCCATGTCCAGCAAACGTGTCGGCTCGTCCACTTTTTTTTGCGGAAGAGCAGACGTGCTCTTTTCGAAGCCCTGCGTTCCTCCTCCCAAAAGGAAGAAGGGCTCTTTGGAAAGAGGGGGTGTAGCTGGGCCAAATTTAGGAAAAGCCTCTTCCGAAAAAACTATTGGAAATGGTATGAAAATTGCAGAGCACAATTTGAGTACCTTTTTGCAATTAAACCCCATAGTGTAGACATAACATCTGTTGGGATATATGAGGGGCTCAGGGAAGGGGGTTTAGATGTATGATGGACTCCAGGCACAGGGGTGAAGGTAGGGAGGATGAGGGAAGTAGGGTAGGCCCTCCTAATGGCTAAGACCTCAGCCCCTAGAGCTTGGGATTGTAGGGTCAAATCCTCCACCCACCCCAGTCCCAGGAGCCACCACCACCAGCCTCTCTAGTGCAGGAGCAGCAACACAGCCACCATGGTGCCTGTCCTGGCTGTGTGGCAAAGCCAGTCCACTACCACCAGCAGCTTATCCAAAGCTGGAGTTAGCACCAGCTTTGGGGGGCAGAGCAGGTCTCCTAATAGATATGGCCGTAGAGCTTGGGATGGTAGGTGTAAGCCCCCTCACCCACCATACATCCAGCTGGTCAGCTATCGCTGGAGGCACGGTGGGCAGCTTGCTCTGGAGCTGCTGCCAGGATTAGGGCAGGTACCACACAGGCCAGAGTTGTCATTTTTCATTGTAATTTAAAAAGTTGCATGTATTTTGGGAATGATAAAAGAGCCATATTTGGTTCCCTACTGAGCCATATTTGGCTCAAGAGCCATAGGTTGCTGACCCCTGAGCTAGATGGTGGTTTGCCCTGCTATGAGGGCAGGGGACTGGACTTGATGATGTCTCAAGGTCCCTTCCAGTTCTAGTATTCTGTGATTCTATGGAAACAGATATACTACATAGCTGGATGGCTCTTAGGCTGAATATTTATAGTTTATTGGTCTTTGAACAGTCTGACTTTGTTGAACATTTTTTACAGCAATATATAAAATTTAAAAATCATGTTGTACTTTGTGCACAGACAAAAGCTATTGCAGGCACTTGTAGCAGTCAATATTTCCATCACCATGTCCTCAAATTCTTCTCTTACTCTTGAATATCATCTTATTTGTTGCCAAAAAAATCACTTAAAAAGGATTTTTGAGGCAATCCATGCTCCCCATCTCCCATTGTTTTCTTTTTTCTGATGTAATCAACACATGGACCAACACAAAGGTTAGCGAGGTTCATTATATAGTGAGGTTCTAGGTATATTTCAGCTCTCTTTTTTCTTATTTCTCAGCAGCACTGATGCTTACTAGGAATGGATTCTGCTAAATTTCTCATTAACAGGTCAGAAGCAGTGAGATTGTCATATAAAAACTCCTCTTCCAGGCTTTTAAGAACGGACTAAGCTTTCAGGACAAAGGGAAATGACCGCACAGCATTGCTCAGAGTCTGAAACCCTGGAAGAATGTGCATTGCAACTCTGTTTCTCTCTAAACTCATTATGTATGTTCACTGAACAGCAGAAATAGATTTTATTCCTTTTTTTACCTCTTGCTTTGTTTATTTCTGTCTGCAAGCACAAAAGACAACTAATTACATTGCTTCTGGAAATATTTTTATATTGTACAACGTGACTACTCTTGAAACATCCTTACTGTTTCTGTACTGAAGCATAATGTGC